AAAAAAAAAGAAGGGGGGGCAAGGAATGGGTCCCTAGAAAACCCTGGAAATTAGAATGGCTCTAATTAGAATGGCTTAAGGGAATATTATTATTAGTAGTAGTAGTAGTATTAGTAGTAGTAGTAGTAGTAGTAGTAGTAGTAGTAGTAGTAGTAGTATTAGACACCTCACGCAGTCCGCCGAAATTATTTTTTAAATGGACTGGTTCTGTATAACAGCAAGTTTCATCCAGAAGCCTAAGATCCGCGCGCGCATGCAAGCTGTTCCTAATACTGTACTGCCAGGTTTTGCATTATTATTATTATTGCTGTTATTTTAACCTTATCAGCCTCTTTCAGCAAAACCGGCCGGAGCCCCTTGAAAAGCCGCGTGATCCTGCTTGGACTCTGGCACCGTTCAGCAGGATGTCTGTGTTAACGGCTGACGTTTGGTTGCCAGCCAGTGTATTTCAAGGAATTGGCCCGGCCAGGCTGTTGTGCTCCACCGAATTTCCCCGAGCGCTCAGGTGCAAGCGATTCCTAGCCCCTGCCAATGGCATGCGCTGTATGTATAATACCCCAAATTTTGGCTTAATATCCCGCACTTTTGAGGCACCACGGAATGGGCTGCGATCTCCGATGAACCGCTTCGGCTCTCGCCTGGGGGAGATTTAAAACCATAGACAGGTGTGAAGAATTTTAAATACCTGTATCAGATTTTAAATGTGTTAAGCAACAGGCATGACGTGTTCTGAATATCAGATCTAAAATATGTTAAGCAACAGGCGGGAAGAATTGCAAATACCGTATCAGATCTGAAATATGTTAAGCAACAGGCGTGAAGAACTTTAAATCTGTAGTGACCTGCCGTGAGATCGTTAAAAAAACAGTGACTCATCATCGCCTGCTTGATAAGTTTGGAGTCATCGCCGAGCCTATAATCCACTCCGATTGTTGATAATGCCTTTTGCTCCAGTTGAAAACTTTCTATTCTTTGCTTTCAGAAGGGGAAAAAAAACATATCAACTCTACCTGAACCTCCCACAGTCTTATCTCAATCCACAGGTACCGGCTGGGTCCTTCAAGGAACCTCAAGAAGCAGAAATTCCTAATTTACTCGGGAGCCAGTCCTACTGTTAAACGCAGTGGGGCGGCCCTCTGAGCTAGCATCTCATAGAAGGCGAGGGCAAGACGCAGGAACCGTACATTCGCCCTGCAGATGGTTCTCTACCTCTGCGCTGCCGTAGTGCCTTTAAATGTTTCAGAGGGGCAGTCGGCAGTTATGGGTTGCCCCTCTTATTGTGAGAGCACCAGTTAGTCTTTTTACCTCAAACAAACAAGAACACGTCGGTCTGTCCTTGATTTTTCTCCTGTTGTTTTGACCCTTGATTTATTCTGCTTAGTCTCTGGCCCTTTTCCAGGCAGTATGTATTGTTTTCGCTTTCCTCTCCAGCTATGCTCCTCAACCACCCTGTGAGGTAGGATAAGGAAGGGAAGAGATTTAAAAAAAACACCTCACCCCATCTCTTTGCCCAGTAAGCTTCATGAATGAACAAAAATTTGAACCCGGAGCTGCTGGGTAGCTCAGGGGCCAAGGTCCCTGGCTACAGAGTCAGAAGTTGGGAGTTGCCTTGGCTTTTTTAAAAAATGCATGCTCTCATTCCCTTTTGCCAAACGACAGTCCGGTTGCCCCTCCACAAGGGAGAGATTGCTTCAGCTTCCTTCCTTCCTTCCCCTCATCCCTCCACCTCCCTTCTCCTTATCCCTCCCCTTCCTTCCTTCCGTCCTTCCGTCCTTCCGTCCTTCCGTCCTTCCGTCCTTCCGTCCTTCCGTCCTTCCGTCCTTCCGTCCTTCCGTCCTTCCGTCCTTCCGTCCTTCCGTCCTTCCGTCCTTCCGTCCTTCCGTCCTTCCGTCCTTCCGTCCTTCCGTCCTTCCGTCCTTCCGTCCTTCCGTCCTTCCGTCCTTCCGTCCTTCCGTCCTTCCGTCCTTCCGTCCTTCCGTCCTTCCGTCCTTCCGTCCTTCCGTCCTTCCGTCCTTCCGTCCTTCCGTCCTTCCGTCCTTCCGTCCTTCCGTCCTTCCGTCC